AAAACTAAAACTTTGCCAAAGCCTTGTAATTTCAAAAATATTATATGGAATTGTTGTGTATTATCCTTGTTTGACAGCTGCTGATCGTAACCGTTTGCAAATTATGCAGAATACATGCTGCAGATTCGCAAAAGGACTTAGAAAATTCGATCATATTTCCCAAGCCTTCTTCCAAACTGGCTGGCTAACTGTTAATAATTTATATATATTTATGTTCCTTTCTTTTCTTTTTAAAATACTTTCTACTGCGTCACCATTATATCTTATGAGCAAATTAACTTTTAGATCGTCTACGCACAATGTAAACATAGGAAACAATTTTAATTTATCAATGCCTCGTCACTCTAGTGCTATTTATAATCGTAGTTTTTCGTATAACGCGGTTGTTCTGTACAACACTTTACATACCGATATTAAAAAATCACGATCTCTACCTGTTTTTAAAAATGCTTTAAAAAGGCAACTCTTTATTAGTCAAATGTAAACTAGTAGATATAATGAGCTACTAATGTCAAATTGTATTGATAAACTTTTAATATTATAGTTATTTAAATGTATATGTTTTGTTAGGGTTAGGTGTAAGAATAGCCACAGGCTAATCCTCGCCCATGCTAACTGTACAAAAATGTAATTATTTTGTGCAAATAAAGACCCGTTATTATTATTATTATTATTATTATTACTGTATGTTGGTGAAATCAAAATCAATCGATTGAACCAAAAATTTTTTTTAAATAAATAACTCAAAAACGCATTTTTCGAGTATTGTAAAATTTAGTATGTATATAGATATTTTAATTGATGATTAATCGTTTCAGGCAAAAATTGCACCACTAAAATCATGAAAGACCAAAACCACTATAATCATACCATAAATGTCATCGTTATTTTATTTTTTTTTTAGTACCGCGCCGGCCCCCTTTTTTTATGCCATTTGTATATCTTGCAAATAACATGTACCTCTCATGGTATTTTAGTAAAATTTTTATTGACTTCAAAATTTTCAAGAAAATTAAGTTGGCGGTTATTGCTAACGCAACCCGAACACCTTATTACAATAAAAACAAATCATCAATAGGCATAGGTAACTAATGAAAAATAATAACAATTCAAACAAATGGTTGGTAACTTCAAATTTTCAAGAAACCTAAGTGGGCAGTTGTCAACGTTACTAATAAAACAATTGACAAAAGTTTTCGATAGTACGTGTTTTCTTTGGTTTCGTATCAAAGTTCTTGTAAATAAGGAATTATTTCAAACATTTTGTGACTAGTATGGAGTACACATTTACTAAAAAAACTGGTAGCTGTAATGGTAGAGAGTGTTCGTGCGTGTAACAATATTTCCAAACCGACAGATTCCGAATCACCAGACTTTTGCTTCTGTCGAGAGGTGACTTCGAGGAACTGCTCAATTGAAAAACCGAATAGAAAACTTGCTGGACGACTTCGTCAAGACAAAACTCCTGCTACAGAGGATGGAACACAGCAAATAATTTCGGAATTAGTGCCCGACGCCTAGCAGGAAAAACTAGGGTTTTAAAAAAACATATCCAACAGAATAATGAGAGAACTATTTATCCCTTTTACATTCAAATTGTCCAGGAACTTTTACCTTCTGATTATGAATCTAGTTTACATTTTATACAAGTTATTCAAGAGCGCAGAGAGAACGATTCAGATTCTCACAGAAACATTTTATTTACAGACGTGCTTACACGACGGGGTATAACAGAAGCACATAACGAACATGTTTACGTAGATCAAAATCCACATGCTATTAAAGAGAAACATTTTCAGCGAGAGTTTAAAATTATTGTGTGGGTGGGTATTGTAATGGCCCACCCCCGGTACCTCTCCTTGATCATTGTTTTTAACGTCTGAAATCTTATTATTCTTCACCTCTTAATTTTGTTTTACTTTAAATTTTATACTTACTGTATTTGGCCTTTTTCCTCTAGTAGTATTAGTAGTAGTATTAGTAGTAGTGATCGTCTAGTTAAATAATTGATAATTTATATACCCACGTTGTGATAAATTGGTAAATAAAACCATACAAATTTATATTTAAACTCTTTTATTTTTCATACTTTAAATGTGATGCAATCATTAGCAAAGTATATTACAATTAATTTGTACTATTTACTGAGATCTCACTTGAGTCCCATTCAAAGGCAGACCACGTTCATTTGCTATCAAGATATATTTTATTTAGGTTTATGACCAACAGAGTTAACGAACAGCGTCAATTCGCCAGTTGGTTAACTACTGTGTTGATGTTTATTTTTATTTAGCTTGATTATTCTAGATATATAGCAGGGGAAGAAGTTGGAAAGGATTTTACCAGTTATCCCACTTGATACACATAAATTGACAGGTTTGCGGCGGATCTAACCGAAGTGGACGCGATACATTGGCGTACAAAATTATTTTATAGATGTTAATGACAATTTCGAGTAAATAGTTTAATAAATTGTAAATAGCTGTTAAAATTTTGTAAAATTATGATTTGAATGTTATACATGCGATTGTCCGGTTCTGCCGGTAACAATTTATACTTATTCTATGAAACGACACTGGCAGGTAAAAATTACTGCGAAATTCTCGAAGCCCTCCGACGTAGCCCCTGCTATACACAGGTTGTACTCTCTTAGGTAATTATTTTGACGAGTATAGAGGTTATGACCAACGGAAGTAACGAATAGCGTCAATTCGCCAGTTACTGTGTTGATTTCACATATGCTTTGTTTCAAACCTAGTAGAATGGGTGGTTTAGTATAAGGTGTCCCCCTTGAGCTAACGAACAGTGTCCATTCACCAGTTGGTTAACTTACTGTTAAATTTTAGTAATTTTACCATCTCGGTTTGTATAATTTATCCAATATAATACATCCCTGTATACTTCTAAAGTATTGATTTTTATAATTTCTATTGAAATGACTTAATACAACCCTGTATATTTATAAATATTGATTTTTATTATTTCTATTGAAATACTCAAATTCACCCATCGAAAAACAGATGTCTAACCTCATTGTCTTTCGGGGTGAATGTCCGAAAGCCATGTGGTTTGGTGGTTACATTGATTATATTTTGAAGCAAATGTCAGGCCCTTATTCAAACGAAACCCCGGTGGTATCTCAAAGAAAGTTACACAAATCTTTTGACTCACCATTGAAAATACAAACATTAGATTCGTGTATACTAGACATTATGTACTAATTGTATCTAACATTGTGACGGTGTCGATTTACGTACGTCGCAGCGTTGAGCGTCGCCTTGCGTCGAGGCGCCTATCGTCGTGGTGGAGAGGAAGGTGTTTATTACGGTACTACGGTATAAAATACTTGGTAGTGCTGCGCGACAAAGGGTGTCGTCGAAGATATTATGAAGAAAATATTTAGGGACGGAAAGCGTCGGGAAATAAGGCGTGGGACGTTGACAGCGTTCGGGGGATTGGAGGTTGTAGGATAGACGCCTATTAAGGAAAGATACTGATTACAGAATATGAAATAATAATCTGAATTCTATATAAAATCATAATGAATTATTTATACCCGTTTTAATGGCTTTTTGTGAAACGTCAGTTTTTCGTAGCTCCGCTGGGAAAGAATTTTTGGTGGAAAAATAGGGGGTAAATTTATTATGTACCTTATGAACGATGGTGCACCACTTCAATTTTTCTGCATTGTGACGAACAGTGCCAGAAATATTGATTGGCAAAGGTCCAGATGCTCCTTTTCAGTGGCCACCTTATTCACCAGAATGTAATCCTTGTGATTATTTTATCTGGGGTTACTTGATAAAGAAAGTTTATGAAGCAACATTAAACAATTGTGGGCTAGTATTTAAAATGCTTTGAACTCTATGCGAAATGATCTAGACATTTTGAGAAGAGTATATATTCTTCAATTTCTTGTACCGGATTGAAATCTGAACATTTTGATGTAAAGTAATAAATTGTTTGAGATATATTGTGCGATTCTACTATCTTTTTGTTTTTAACAAGGCTGGTATCTGAACATTTTGTTAAAGTCACCTTTTTAACAGATTTATTTTCAAATTTATTTGAAGAGGATTTTCAAAATTACAATGAGGATTACAAAAATTAGAATGTAATTCTTCAAAAGTAAAATTTGGTCTTTTTAAGAATTTCTGTTATCTTAATTTGTTTTTATATTGAAAAGAAGGGTTTTTCGATGTCGTTGATATCGGTTCTGGTTTAGACAATTGGTTTCAAGAAAATTTGATTTGGTTTAGAAAAATTTGGTTTGTAAAAATCCAACTTTTGATTAATATTATTAGCGTTTGGAATACTCTTTGTACACTTTTGGATGGCCCTGAATATGGGTGTAGATGATATCGAACTTAAGAAACTGCATATTAGCACAATTTTCTTGGCTGGTGTTGATTCAAAGACGGGCCATGTTCGATCATTATCATTATGAAGAGAGCATTGATAATATAGATTTCAGAGACAAAATATTATCGTTGTATTTTTAAGGTTTATTCACAATATATACAGTAGAGCGTCGATAATCCGGACGTAATAAATCCGGACCGTCGATAATCCGGATTCAATTGCGGTGCAAAAAATTTGAATCATATTGATTAAAAGTTTTAGTTATCTGCTCAATTATTCAATCACAAAAGTGAATTATTAACGGTTTTAGTAAGTTTTCTTTTTTTATATATTCAAACGACCTATTTTTTGGTTCTTTTCGAAAATTCGGACATTTTGACAATCCGGATTATCGACGCTCTGTTGGTACCTTTTTTTGTAAAATACTGGGTTATTCCATATAAGTTTGATTGTGTGTATGTATTTAATAGCACTATGTGCCAGTTCGTACATGTTCTAGATAAATATGGGTCGTATCAATATCAATAACCACTCCCGTCAATTTCTTAATCATCTCTTCTCCAGATTAGATTGTGGTTTATTGACACTACAGTTTCTCATCTCTAAATAAAAATATTAGTCGAATCGACGTCTTTATCATCTGTATGAAATTGACGGTAGGGTATTTACAGTCTGCGGTTCGTTGATGCAAATTCCAGCTCAGAGCACAGCTTTTAAGTGAGTGCATCGGTCTGAAAAAAATTAGTTAGTCGGCGCGAGCTATTGCGGGAGTGTGGACGCCGATGTCATGTGAAAATTGTTATCGGAATTGTGCGGCAATTACAATACGCTCAAGTTCAGTTAGTTCTTTAGTTATTTGATTTATTGTTTTCCTTTTATTGATGGAGTGTGAACAATTATTTTTATTTTGGCGTCACTCTATGTGTAAGTAGACTTTTTGACACTTTTAATATTTGTCATAAAAGGGTCAAAAAACAGTAAAATAAGGAGAATATTTCTTCTCTATCTACATAACAAATTCAAAGTTAACACACGCCAAATAAATAATGTTTCAGTTTTTAGTTAAGTAATCCGCGCTCAAAATTTTTATCGTGATTTTTCTATTAATTATGCATTAGTTAATTAACAATTTTTTCCTACTTGAACATAAACATTGTAAGTGCGATAATTGTTAAATAACAAATCTGAGATTTTTTCCTTTTTTGAAGCAAATTCTATACGGTTGGAAAAATTAAAAAAATTGTTATTTTTCACTTTCTTATTAACAATTTACTTAGGTTAAAAATTAAAAAGCTTGATTAATCATTGAAAACAAATTTATATTACTATTGATCCGTTTTTTTTTTTTTTTTTTTTCATTAGAAGCAACAAATAATTTTTTTTCCTAAAAAATATTTCATGGTTTTTTGTTTCACCACGTAGAAAAATAAAAAAATATATGTAAAAAAATTAATTTATTATAACAAATTGTTTATTAAATAATCAATGAATATTTAAACAAAAACAATTTTAAATTAAATTATGAAAAAAAAATGGTTCCAATAATAAAGTGGAAAAAAATTGTTAATTAACAACAAATTTTTTTTAAGGAACGATTTTTTTTTTAATCTAAATATGCATCAAAGAATATGTTTCAAAAAAAAAAATTTAAATTACCTTATCAACAACGCATTTGTTTATAATAATTTTTTATATAATAGGAAATAAAAAAATTTAAAAGTCAATAGTAATACCTATAAATAATTTTTTTTTCAATGATTGATCAAGCTTTTTAATTTTTAACTTAAGTAAATTGTTAATAACAAAGTGAAAAATAACAATTTTTTTAATTTTTCCAACGGGAATCTCTTCTAACACCGTTCAAAAATTGCTAAAAAGAAGACAAAATCTCAGATTTGTTATTTAATAATTATCGCACTTGAAATGTTCCTGTTAAGTAGGAAAAAATTGTTAATTAACTAATGCATAATTAATAGAAAAATCGCGATAAAAATTTTTTGACCGCGGATTATTGTTCATTCATCTATCCAGTAGCCGCCTGAATTTTTTTAATTCGTAATGTTAATATTTAATAGGTTTAAATAATATTTAATCATTAAAGGTCCACAGTGGGCGTCTTACGCAAGCCAGTCTCCGTTTTCAGCCCTATTTTCAACCCTATTTTTAACCCTCTGGAAAAATGATAGATATTGGTCCTACAGTTTCAGGAGGTAGTACTTTTTGGTGGGAAATTTCCTCCTCTTTTTGAATCTTTTTTTTTTTTCAAAAATCATTTACATGTTATTCCGAATCGAATGACACCTAGTTCATATTTTTCGGAGGCGGAGAAAAAAGTTTGACCCAAAAAGCACTTGTTAACTAGACTATATCTCAAAAATATGAAAATGGAATCAAAATATCCCGACCACCTCGCCCCATAGCTGATATGGAGGGGGTGGTATCCCCAAAAAATTTTATTAGAATTTTTTAAATGAATCAGTTGAAATCTACGATATTTTCTATATAAATACTCTTATGCTTCGGAATTGTCGGTTTTCTTGTTTTAATCTGACAGGTTAAAACGACTAAACCGACAATTCCGGAAGCAGAAGCGGATGATTAAAACGCACCTGATATTTTGCTTGCTGCTGTCAGTGTCACAGTTTATTGCTAAAGAATCAGTTAGCTCACTCGAACCAGTTGAAAGTTTCAAAATAACATCCACTCCAGGGATACAAATTCAGGATACGCAGAAGACTGCTGTTTTATTATAGGCGGTTGTCATATATTGTATTATGCGAGTTGCACAGTGTATAAACTGAAACATTGAGATCAAAAGTGCCGACGCAGAGTGAGCGATCTGATTATTTAGCTGTAAACTGTGTCACAGGGTTCAAAATGGCCGCGCCCTATGTTGGGCGTGTCAGACCTCTCTCTTGCCTCGTATAGTAATCAAAGTATGTGGTGAATATTATTTTTGAAGTCACAGTTTATTGCTAAAGAATCAGTTAGCTTACTCGGACCAGTTGAAAGTTCCAAAATAACATCCACTCCAGGGATACAAATTCAGGATACGCAGAAGACTGCTGTTTTATTATAGGCGGTTGTCATATATTGTATTATCCGAGTTGCACAGTGTATAAACTGAAACATTGAGATCAAAAGTGCCGACGCAGAGTGAGCGATCTGATTCTTTAGCTGTAAACTGTGTCACAGGGTTCAAAATGGACGCGCCCTATGTTGGGCGTATCGGGCCTTTCTCTTGCCTCGTATAGTAATCAAAGTATGTCTCTTAAACTAAAAATGACATTAAAGTCAAAACTAAAGGTAAGTTTACGTGGTGATCGCAATGTCGTCACAGTTGGCTTATCCCCTTCAAAAAGTGGTATTTTTCTTGAAATTTCAATTTGATATCTTTTTTTTTGTTTCCGAGTTGATTTTTTCAATATTTCAAATCTCCTTATCTCTCCATTTTTATTTGTTTATTTATTCATTCCCTTGTAGAGCTTGATTTTTATTAAACTTTATATTATGTTGGTATGCTTTTGGTTTTTGATTTCTATTTTTTTTATTTCAATCCCCCTTGATCCCTATTTTATTCAGATTTTGTTAAAATCAATATGTTTGATTTTTGCCAAAAATTTCAAATTGATTTTATTGTTGGTTTTTGAGTTATTTCATCTACCTTAATCCTATTCATTTTTTTTTTTTAATTCAATAGCTTCATTTTCTTATGGAGCTTAATTTTTACTAAAAATTTCATGTTGATATCGCTTTTCGTTTTCGATTTATGAATTATTTTATTTCAACCCCCCCAAACCCCCATTTTAATTATAATTTTTTAAAATCAAAGAGCTTCTTCCCTTATAGAACTTGATTTTTGCTACAAATTGATATCATTTGATTGTTGCTACAAATTGATATCATTTCTTGTTTTGAGTTTTTTTTAAATAGTTTTACCTCTTCTGTAACCCGCCAATTTATACAGATTTTTCCGAATCAATAGGCGTCATCTTCTTATAGAGCTTGATTTTTACTAAAAATTTCATGTTGATATCATTTTTCGTTTTTGATTTAAGATTTTTTACTTTTTCAACCCCTTTAACAATCCCATATTTATTTAGATTTTATCACAATCAACAGGCTTGATTCTCTTATAGAGCTGGATTTTTCCAGAAATTTTCAAATTGATATCGTGCGGATAAAAACATGACATCGGACGGACGGAACTAAACGCATAATACTCTTCACAGACCATTGTGTGAAGAGAATAGTAATGTTTTTGTCTCAGAAAAAGATAGCATAAATGGTGATTTAAAATAAAACATTTTAGTTTGTTGCTCCGTACCATTTTTGACATATTTTACTTTACGCACTAGTGCACTTTAGTAGAAAAAGTTTATAATCGCACTTTCAGTACTCGAATTTTCTATAAAATCATATTGGTAGCTGGAGATAACATTGTAAGTTTCAAAAGAACAGTTAGGCTTACCTTCAGTGCCTTTTCAAATATTTTTATTACATTGCTTAGTAATGAAACCGTTTATATTTATTTACTTATTATTATTTGTGGTGACAATAGATTGCAGTATGATACGTATTAAAATAATTGAGGAAAATGATTTGAATTCGTATTTTAATTATATATTTATTGTTGTAATTGCAAGTACATTAAAACATTATTCAATTAAAGATTTATTTTTCAAGTTGTAATGTAATATTAAAACAAAAAACAACGTATGATACACATTTATAAGTGTTTTTGAAGGTTCTTCACTCATAAACTTGTAATATCATATATATATTATAATTCCCTGGAACTTTTATACCTCATTCCTTATTCATAAAACAAATATTAGTTTTTTTTTATATACATAATAATTTACAATAGTTACCGGCGCCGCAAGTCTTCATGCATTCACCATGTTTTAGAATCGTATTTAAATCGCCCAGCACATGTTAAAATACTTTTTGCAGCCATTATAAACCATTTATATTCCATGTAAAGACGACACCTCCGGTCTTTTATTAACGTTTAATAATTTTTTACCTGACCAGAACTCGTAATCGTTAGAATTCATGAATGGCGGGTTAGTGACAGATTCTCTAATGTGGAATTTACAATCTTAAAATTTAAACCGCATTGTTTACAAATGAAGAAATTATTTTTATATTAAATATACAGGGTGGCGCATCGAAAACGAAATAGAGACATTTACTGGCAGCTAAGTTTTTTTTTGGAAAAACGCTCAAATCTGTCGATTTTGTTTTCGAGGGGGGGACAAAATTGGGAAAAAATCACGTAAACACGTGCAGCCCCCTAGGCGGGTGTGGCACCATGCCTAAAATCTTAAATGGAAAGGGGTCATTATTTGAAAGGTCTTTCAATTTCCTTTATAATGACGTAAAATTCATGTACTTCAGTTCAGTAGTTTTGGAGATTTATGTATTTAAAGTCAAAAGTAGACTAATAGGTACATCAGGTTAGTTTGTGTTACTTTCAGAAGAAATTTGAGTAAAAGCATTTACTTAATAAGTAAATGCTTTTCTTCACTACGCCCATGGTTTGTTTATTATGAAAATAACGATTGAAGCGTTTTTTGTGGCAAAAAAGTTGTTTCTTGAAGAAAAATAAGAAGGGAATGCCTCGTACTTATTTTAAATAGGAATTTAGTACATAGATTGCGTTTAATTCGATCAAAATTTGTTGTTAAAATACCTTTTAACGCTTTATACATTAACCATGGTATATTTCACGGCAGAAAGGGTTGAAATTATCAAAATATTTTTCGTAAATAATCCGTGCGCTAATAGAACAAGCACAAATATTTAATGAGCGACATGAGAACAGTAACGTGGATCGAAAATATGTTCTAGAACTTGTAGCTAAATTTCTGGAAAATGGATCAGTCGCCAATAAAAAACGCATCATTGAAAATCCCATA